CCACTTTAATCCTCCTGACAACGAGGTGGGCTCCATCATTATATCCATTTGCCAGCAGAAGAAACTGAGGCCCAGAGAGGCAAAGTCACTTTCTTAAGGTCCCGTGGCTGGGGCGTGGGAGAGCCTGAATGTGACCCCTGAGAGCCTGGGCTCTGTCTCGTTTTCTCCAGCGCCCCTGGCCATGGACCAGCCGGCCGGCCTGCAGGTGGACTATGTCTTCCGGGGTGTGGAACACGCCGTGCGGGTGGCGGTTTCCGGGCAGGTGCTGGAGCTGGAGGTGGAGGACCGGATGACGGCCGACCAGTGGCGGGGCGAGTTCGACGCCAGCTGTGAGTGTGCCTGCCTGTACGCGCTCCCCTCTCTTTACAGTAGGTGACGCCAACTGGCTGTCCTGTCCCCTGGCCTCTCCCCACCTGAGCAGCCGTCCACTGTGGGGTGCGGGACCTCTTCCCTCAGGCCAGGGAGAGGTGGAGGTCTTGGATGTGATACCCTCAGGCGGGGCAAGTGGTCAGACCACAGGAGGGCTTTTTCTCCCCTCCCAGTCATCGAAGATTTGACTCACAAGACGGGGAACTTCAAGCAGTTCGACATCTTCTGTAACATGCTGGAGTCGGCCCTCACTCAGGTAGGGACCTGTGCTGAGGGCCCGGGTGGGAGTGGGGAGGGGATTCTGCCCCCTGGATCCCTGATGTAACTGCCCACTGATAGGTGCATGACCCTCTGCTCACTTCCAATTCCAGGGACCTGGCTGGCTATCACTGTTCTTTGGCTATCACTGTTTTTTCCCAAATGTAAATGGTTTATTGTTTTATTCTGCTTCCTATGAGAGTCCTGACGTAGGAAGTTCAGGTCACAGAAAAGGAAGGAGAAACGCGAACACCCTTCCACCCCCGGTCCTCACTTGTGTTAACATTTTGGTGAAAATCATTCTAGACATTTCTCCACTCATCTGTGAATGTGTGTGTATGTGTGCGTGTGTGTGTGCGCGCACACACGTGTTTATGCTTTGGGTTTCTGAGGCTGTAAATCTCTGTGGAAGTGGATTGCCCAGTCTTCCTTCCATGGAACAGCTGGTGGGCTTGAACCGCCAGCCTTCTGGTTAGCTGTCAAGCGCCTTAGGCACTACGCTACCAGAGCTCCTTTATATAATGTAGATACTTATAAAGGAGCTCTGCTGGCGTAATGCCTAAGGCACTTGACTGCTACCCAGAAGGCTGGTGGTTCAAACCCACTAGCCACACCTGGGAAGGAAGGTTGGGCAATCTACTTCCATAGTGATACCGCCTTAGAAACCCAAGGAGAGGTCGCTATGAGTCGGGTCCGACTTGACAGACAACAACAACAACAACAACATATTATATAAGGAGCCCCAGTGGCACAAGAGTCAAGTGCTCATCTGCGAACCGAAAGGTTGGCAGTTTGAACCCGCCCAGGGGTTCTGTGGGAGAAAGGCCTGGCCGTCTGCTCCCATCAGGATGAGCCTGGGAAACCCCGGGGGGCAGTCCTGCTCTGTCAGACGGGTCCCTGTGAAGTCGACACAAGGGTGCCTCCCGACACTAACAGGACTGTATATTTTCAAATGTCTTCCAGAGTATTCTGTAACCTGCTTTTAAAAAATCCAACTGTAATTCCTAAGCATTTGGTTACATCAGGGACTCATTGGCTTCGGTTAGTCATTGAGATTTGGCCCGTGTTCACCAAGCATTGGCTCCATGGCCAGACGCTGTTGTAGGAACCAGGGACACAGCTGGGAACAAAAGACACAAAACCCTACCACATGGAACTGACATGGGGGGGAGAGACAATTTTTTTTTTTAATTGTGTTTTAGGTGCAGAGTTTGTTTTACATTCAGCAGTTTGTGTACATTTGGTCTCACTCCCGGATGACCATCCCCGGCCCTGACCCACTCTCCTCCCCTCCCTTCCCAGTAACCCCCA